GTCAAGGTCATTAGATTCAAAGGTCAAGGTCAAATTTTGCATCTTTTCACTGATGAACATTTTGTTATGACATAATGAAGCAAAGTTGATCAGAATTAAACAAGGAGTCGACTGACCAAAGGTCAAGGTCATTGGGTCAAAGGTCAAGGTTAAAGTTTGTATCTTTTCACTAGTGAACATTTCGCTATGACACTTTATAGCAATGTTGCTCAGAATTAAAAAAAAAGAGTCAATTGACCAAAGGTCCAGGTCACGGGGTCCAAAGGGTCAAGGTCAAGTTTTGTATTTTTCACTGATGAACATTTTGTTATGACATTATGAAGCAATGTTGGTCTGAATTCAAGAATAAGTCAACTGACCAAAGATCAGGGTCACTGGGTTAATGGTCAAGGTCATTTGGGTCCAAAGGTCAATGACAAAGTTGATCTCTGACTTTGACCCTGGCTCTTGATGGAGGAGGTTTATAAGGTGAAATAAAACAAATCAAAGCTAACAAATGAGTGTTGCACTGGTATTTACATTTCTGTTAGCCCAGCAAATATGGAGGTGGAAGGAAACTAGACTCACATCATAGTACATGTAAAATGTATATTTTGCTTCCTTGCAATTCTTTTTGAAGTCCAAATGTCAAACTTCAAGCTCAGCTATATGGGCAGATCACTTCTTGATGATTATGGGGGATATATTGCCACAAGACGGGGCCCTTACTGACCTGTCAGTGTTCTAGTTTTGTATAGCATTTAAAAATTAGATATGTTGCAAAGTATTGTTACGTGATAAACATGCGACAGTAATTTAACTTTTTCTCTTTTATAAAGTTGATGAAGGATGTCGGCCAAAGCTATTTATGAAGCCAAAGGAAAGGAACTCCTAAACAAGTTCCTTAAGGACACAGCTGTAGGTAACCGCGTTGCTACGGTAACAGAGGATGTCACATGGAGCACACTGACTCAAGAGCATCCCTGGCTATTGACAGAGGTGAGTTAGTCTTTTTAGGCCACCTGATAAAAAGTCTCAACATTTGACAGTTTGAGGTCACCTTATTTTCAACTTATTGCTATCCGTCTTCATCCGTCGTCGTCCGTCATCCGTCGTCCGTTAACATTTTACATTTTCAACTTAAACTGAAATACTGGCAAAGGGATTTCATTAATATTTCATGGGAAGGTTACTGACATCTCCCTGACCAAGTGTTGTTATTTTTCGGGTCGACCAGAAATCCAATATGGCCGCCATGGCCGCCATTTTGAAAAACTATTTCAAACTTAAAGTCAAGTTCTGCGGGGCCGATTGAACTGAAACTAAGTAGGAATGATTGACTCATGGTCCTGACAAAGTGTTGTTATTTTTCGGGTCGATCAGAAATCCAATATGGCCGACACGGCCGCCATTTTGAAAAACTATTTCAAACTTAAAGTAAAGTTCTACNCATGGTCCTGACAAAGTGTTGTTATTTTTCGGGTCGATCAGAAATCCAATATGGCCGTCACGGCCGCCATTTCGAAAAACTATTTCAAACTTAAAAGTCAAGTTCTGCGGGGCCGATTGAACTGAAACTAAGTAGAAATGATTGACTCATGGTCCTGACAAAGTGTTGTTATTTTTCGGGTCGATCAGAAATCCAATATGGCCCCACGGCCGCCATTTTGAAAAACTATTTCAAACTTAAAGTCAAGTTTTGCTGGGCCGATTGAACTGAAACTTTGTAGGAATGTTCGACTTATGGTCCTGACAAAGTGTTGTTATTTTTCGGGTAGCTTAGAAATCCAATATGGCCACCACGGCCGCCATTTTGAAAAACTATTTCAAACTTAAAAACAAGTTCTAATAGGCCGATTTAACTGAAACTCGGTCTAGGAATGATCAGCTCATGGTCCTGACAAACTTAAGTTAACATTATACTTAACTATTTTGTACTCAAATTGGTACATATTTCAACAACAAAAATAAATACTGTAGGACTCAGGTGACCGTTTAGGCCCATGGGCCACTTGTTTCTGTTGTCATGCGTCAATTAAAATTGTTGACTTCTTCTCAAAAACAACTGAACTGATTTCAATAAGATTTTTAAGGAAGCTTCATGACCAAAGACGAACCAAAATTGTAAATTGTACGAAACTCCCCCCACCCCATCCCCATTCCACCATTTCATCAACCTCGTCGACAGGATTCCTTTATCAAGGGAAACAATATATAAATAAAACGTATGACGACACTTTGGCCAAAGGATTTTTAAAGACTAATATTAGAAGTTCGCCTGTTCTCATGTAATTTTGTTGTGCTGGTTGTTGACACATGTTATTCCACCATAACTGTTATTCTACATTAAAAAAGACCAGGTAAGCTATTAAGGCCCCTGGGCCTCATGTCCTTTGTCGCAGCACATAAACAACAAATAACAATTGTATACAACAACCGTTAAGGCCCATGAACCTCTTTTTCAAATCTCATTTCATGATAGGATGAAAGGAAATAATGTTGGTCAATTAAGTTGTGTGTTTGTTTAGGGTTATATATCCTTTCCTTATTGACATGTAAGACTAGAGCTTAAATTTACACTGTAGGTTTGAACAATTCATCTTGATCCAATTTAAGCCTTGTTTCATGGATAAAATTAACCTTCCGCATAAAAGTATTGGAGACTTTCTATTTTGCATAAATACAACATGGACATTTTTTAACCCTTTCACCCCTATGTAACTTTAGTAGACTCTACCATGCATTGATGTGGATGAGTCCAAGTGTGGGCTTCAGCAGTGAAAGGGTTAATACTGTACCTCTATATAAAAAATAATCCCCTATCAAAAAGTTATTATTTAGATGCTATTTTTCTAAAAAAATAAATATATGAATAGGAGGAGAGTGGGGAATTTTATTAACATCACTGCCAAATCCCCTATCTGTGTGTCATGTTAATATCCCATATCATTTGTAAAACATTAGCACTGATTATTCTTTGGGAGCAAGATAATAAAATAAGCAGTTGTCTGATAGCCATTCCTAAACTCTCCCCATATAGCTGTAACTTTGTAAACCTTGACTCTTCCAAAAATCTAATACATGATTAAGGTATGAATTGGAAAGAGGGAAAGTTGTCCTCTTTACAAGTATTTTGCAGTGAAAAGTTTACATACTGAAATGACCTGCAATTAGTGGGCATGACCTGCATTTTGACCTGGTACGACCCTCATTTCTATGTTGAGAACTTGTCAGATATGTATAGTTTTCCAGATTTTACAAGTTATAAAACATGTAGTTCTGTTTTGGTATTAGACAAGCTTTTTATTGTCATGCATCAACTAAGGTGGTTCTAAGAAAGATTCTGAAGTTTATAAGACTCTTTCATGCCCAGGGGTATAGGATAGGAAATTCCACCTGAGGGGTTTTCAAATTTGTTTAAACCTGAGGCTTGGCCGAAATTTTGCCAAATTTGAAAATCCCTCGGGGCTGACAGATTAACCATGAAAATGCATTTGGACTGGCTACCATTTTGAAAATATCAACTTTTCTACAGAGCTTTTTAACAAAAAAAATCTGTCGGCGAGGTTAAGCATACCACATATTTGCAAACACAGTCTTGTCTTTCAAACTTGTACGGTCAATATATTGTAAAAGGTTTCATTTCTATCTCGTTTTTTCTATCTTTCCACATTGCAGCATCATATCTAGACTTTTTCAAATTTGTGATGGTCAGGTCATCGTTGAAACGGGTTGTAGGATAGAAATTCCTTATACCCCTTTCCCTACCCTGGACAGCTCAATCATACACACACGGAAAAGAGAGAAAAATATATGTTTTATTTGACCTAACCCTCGTCTTGCTTTTTTTTCAACAGAAACTTGTCGTAAAGCCAGACCAGCTGATTAAACGGCGCGGGAAGCTGGGACTGATAAAAGCAGGCACCGACCTAGACGGTGCCAAGGAATGGCTTAGTCACAAACTAGGCAAGGACTTCCAGGTAAATACATACACCAGGTCAAGTTGACAATACAGGTCCCAATTACCATAAGCTGTGTACAGTTGTTAGTGCAGGGTCCTGTTGCTCAAAGTTTTGTTAGTTTAACAATTCACCACTATTAAATTTCAAATTGATATGATTAAGAATAATTCAAATTTAGGAAACCCCCTATGGGAATTCCAAATATTGGTCCCTTCAAACATTTGGTCTCTTCATTCAGGTTAAGGTTAAGAAACATTCTCTACATTGCAAAGCATTAAAAGTTGCGACTCTCTTAACACAGGTGGGACATATATAAGGATCACCCTGTACCACTGCCAAAAACTGTAGATATGCATTGGAAACTATCTTTTCAGCATGACTCTACTTTTGATATAAATCCTTTCTACACAGAAAAGCATATATTGCAGGACTTTTTAAAGAAAAAAATTATATAAACAAAAAAACGAACAACAGTGTTCTGGTTGTAAAATTAGAAGGAGGCCAGACTGCAGATCATTATTCTGTTGCTCTGACGAGCTGATCCGAGCTGCCGGTCAACAGAAGTGTCTGGGCCCAGTTGTGCTACAGTAATATCCAAAACACAAATTAAGCAGAGATTAATGCATGACTACAGTGGATTTCTCTCGGGGTTTTCCTGCAGTGGGACAGGGATCCTTAACTCAGTCACCCCTAAAGACACATTTGAACTCCTCCAATTCAAAGGTTGGAATAGTTCATGATGAAATTTCAGGGGTGCATTAGTTGATTGTCACATTATGATTATGACAATTTTGTCTCAATCTTCATTACCTACCCCCTAACCCTACTACCCCAACACCCTCATTGAAATACATCTATAATTGCTGTATCCAATTTCCTGTTGCTTGTTTGGAGGTTTCTGATCTATAAAAAGAAAAGAAAAAGATCATTTAACTTTGTAGTAAGACAGATAAACAACTTTCTTAATTCAAAAGTTAAGAAATAACCAATACTATCTGTCTATATACTAAGCAAGCAAGCATATTTTACTTGATATAAATACAGGTGGTATTCTGACACTAATCGTAAGACATGTACAGGATTCACATTACTTTAATAGTTAGCTTGGTAATAAAACTGACAAATTACAATGGCTGTTACATATACAGGAAACATCTGACATTAAAGGTGTAAATACACAATTCCTGTGACAGCTGAATTTACTAGTCTCAAGCTGGATAACATCCTTCTAGCGATTAAGAATCATATTTTAATGAATTTTTCTGCGTTATCAGGTGAGATGAACATTTTTTTTTGAAAATTTCAGAAGGTCAAGGTCACTTACATTCTATAATATTCTGAATCTCATTCAAGCTTGTCTGTTGATCATTATATATATAATTAGCGTATAGAAACTCTGAATCGTAAATTATGGATGAAGACAAACCTATAGTTCTTTAAGCATGTAGTAAAAGTCGTGTTGAACATCGATCCAATACACCAGTGCTGTGGTGATTGACTTTTTAACGAGGGACTGAACATACAGGTGAATGTCGTACTGGATTTTAATATCATGCAATTTCCATTTTGAATGTAGTCATTGTTCGATTGTTGAATATATATACTGTATATACCGGACAACTTTCGCCAGGTCAAATATTTGCCCGTTTCCGTGAGAATCTAATTTGCCCTTCACATGTTATTACTATATATTGTATGTTGTGTACTTGCATTCATTGTCATGATAGTTAAAACTGTGGCGAACATTTCCCGGTGTATACAGCAAGATGTATTAAGCAAAAGTTTGAATCAGTATTATTTTTATCATTATTCAAACTGAAAATGAAGTATACATGTCCATGAATTTGAAATAGGCCCAAATGCATTTCAGTTGTTGATTGACCAAAAAATACAAATAAAAATCATTCTTAATTTCTGAAAACATGTTTCCAAAAATTTTTAAATCTTGAGATTATATGACCTCTAGATTCATTTTCAAATCCTGCACTAGCTCTTTATACACTCAGACTTAAACACTCAGACTTTATATACTCAGTGTGTTGTTGATTATATTTTGTTCATTTCATATTTATTATTTTTGCATAAAAATAACCACAAGGTATGTTATAATTTAGCAAGCTATAGTCTTGTCAGAAGAAGCAGTTTCTTATGTGTTTAGTTACAGTTTTGGCAGTGGCCCGGTGATCCTTAGACGACTCTAGCTGTCAGTAAGACGTTAAGCCAATTAAAACTATTCAATAACATACAGATTTTGAACATTCATATTTCTGATAACGTAGGATGTGTGTGTAAGTTTAAATGTTATTTGACCTTTTAAGTTTGTAGACATGTACATGTATAACTGTGTTTATCATACTGACAATCACAGACCCTGTAGAGAGAGTTTGTATAGACTCCTAATGCACATGTATGAGAAATCTAGTTATACCCTTCTACAATGTAAGATGTTTAGTGTAACTTGGAGGTCTGTGCCACACTAAGGAAGTCTCCATTGATTACATGACAATGTTCTGAGAACCCCACAATCAGTTTGTCACGCTGCTGTTTAGGAGGTAGCCAAATACTGTACTGCCGAGCAGCGGAATCGGGGGAGTAGAGAGATCGTAATTACCTACCATTGTACGGGATCACTGAGTGGATTGATCTTCGGTGACAAAATAATCAATATATGTCTTGTTAGTGGGATAAAAAAGACTTCAGTATTAACTACAATATGTATTTAAATGTCTCCCTAATTTGTTATATTAGACCTAAAGATTAAAATGAATCCAGTGGGTTTTTTTACTAAAATTCTACAGAAGCCTGTTCCAACTTGAATTTGGAAAATAAATCGATATTTCTATTGACAAAAGGAAGATATTTCTCATTTGCTCTGAATTTTGGGGAAATTGAGCATTTTTTTGACTTGAGAAACAGCTGTATTTAGCTGTGAAACTAGGAAAAATCACTGGAACCATTGCAGAAGTCTGGTCTGTCTGTTTATACTTATACTTATACCAGGAGAAAAAAACATGACCTACTGCCAGATTCTGCAGGTGACTGTCCAATGTAGGCCTCTGACCCACGAACCAGTGTTGGAGGGCTATTGATCATAGACAGTCAGACGCCTGAACCACTGGGCCACCCTGACACAGTAGTGGAGGGCTAGTGATCATAGACAGTCAAACGCCTGAACCACTCGACCACCACGACCCAGTAGTGGAGGGCTAGTGATCATAGACAGTCAGACGCGTGAACCACTCGGCCACCACGACCAAGTGGGGGAGGGCTAGTGACCATAGACAGTCAGACGCCTGAACCACTCGGCCACCACAGCGTCTTCACTGCACAAGTTTAATAGACAGTCAAACGCCTGAACCACTCGACCACCCCGACCCAGTAGTGGAGGGCTAGTGATCATAGACCGTCAAACGCCTGAACCACTGGGCCACCGCGACCCAGTAGTGGAGGGCTAGTGATCATAGACCGTCAAACGCCTGAACCACTGGGCCACCGCGACCCAGTAGTGGAGGGCTAGTGATCATAGACCGTCAAACGCCTGAACCACTGGGCCACCGCGACCCAGTAGTGGAGGGCTAGTGATCATAGACCGTCAAACGCCTGAACCACTGGGCCACCGCGACCCAGTAGTGGAGGGCTAGTGATCATAGACAGTCAAACGCCTGAACCCCTTGGCCACCACGACCAAGTGGTGGAGGGCTAGTGACCATAGACAGTCAGACGCCTGAACCACTCGGCCACCACAGCGTCTTCACTGCACAAGTTTAATAGACAGTCAAACGCCTGAACCACTCGACCACCACGACCCAGTAGTGGAGGGCTAGTGATCATAGCCAGTCAAACGCCTGAACCCCTGGGCCACCACGACCCAGTAGTGGAGGGCTAGTGATCATAGCCAGTCAAACGCCTGAACCCCTGGGCCACCACGACCCAGTAGTGGAGGGCTAGTGATCATAGACAGTCAACCGCCTGAACCACTGGGCCACCACGACCCAGTAGTGGAGGGCTAGTGATCATAGACCGTCAAACGCCTGAACCACTGGGCCACCGCGACCCAGTAGTGGAGGGCTAGTGATCATAGACCGTCAAACGCCTGAACCACTGGGCCACCGCGACCCAGTAGTGGAGGGCTAGTGATCATAGACAGTCAAACACCTGAACCACTCGACCGCCACGACCCAGTAGTGGAGGGCTAGTGATCATAGCCAGTCAAACGCCTGAACCCCTGGGCCACCACGACCCAGTAGTGGAGGGCTAGTGATCATAGCCAGTCAAACGCCTGAACCCCTGGGCCACCACGACCCAGTAGTGGAGGGCTAGTGATCATAGCCAGTCAAACGCCTGAACCCCTGGGCCACCACGACCCAGTAGTGGAGGGCTAGTGATCATAGACAGTCAGACGCCTGAACCACTGGGTCACCACGACCCAGTAGTGGAGGGCTAGTGATCATAGCCAGTCAAACGCCTGAACCCCTGGGCCACCACGACCCAGTAGTGGAGGGCTAGTGATCATAGCCAGTCAAACGCCTGAACCCCTGGGCCACCACGACCCAGTAGTGGAGGGCTAGTGATCATAGCCAGTCAAACGCCTGAACCCCTGGGCCACCACGACCCAGTAGTGGAGGGCTAGTGATCATAGCCAGTCAAACGCCTGAACCCCTGGGCCACCACGACCCAGTAGTGGAGGGCTAGTGATCATAGACAGTCAGACGCCTGAACCACTCGGCCACCACAGCGTCTTCACTGCACAAGTTTATAATTGAGAAGAAGTGCTCTACTTTAGAATTGTGTTTTTTACTTGCAATATTGTCCCTTTTATGTAGAAGTTTTACAGACCTACAATTACCTGGCAAGGTATTCATCATTCATTTTGATACTATGCATTTACATTCCGAGATAATAACATTGCTAAGTATAGGATGCGTTAAGTTACAGGGTAGATCCCAAGTTAGACCCATGGTAATTTGATCTTTTTTGAGGGTGGATGCTTTACTAGTGTTTCCAAATATTTAAATTCCAAACAACTGTAATTCATTTCCTTCAGATAAAAATTAGACAATTTGGATTTTGACAGAGCTCTGCAAATGTCAAGAGAAATACATCTACATATCTTCTTTTAATATCACATTTCCCTTAATATCAAATTGTATTCTGACATTGCCCAGTGATATTAAGAGAAACATGATTTTATTGGGGTTCAAAGTGAACCATTCTTAAACAAATCAACATTTGTTTGGTTGTCGTCATTTGGATTGGTGGAATAAAAATCAGTATGGTTTTTGAAATTGCAAAAATTGAAATGATAACTCCAGGAAGATGAACTACAAATGTACATGCAGTGACAGTGTACATAGGAGGGGACGTGGTGTGGCTGCATGTGGCTTGTTTATGTAAAACAACACAAATAATCCATATGTTACGTCACTTAAAGCACTTTGAATCAGTTACACCATCTTGTCTAAATGGTGTTTATGCAATTCTTTTCCATTAGGGATGTTTGAACAAGAAATATTGACAGAAATTCCTGAGGGCACTACTTAGTGGCATGGGAGATATAACATTGTGTTTAAGTGTAGCAGTCAGGAAATGGATCCGTCAGTCTACGGGGAAAACACTCCTAACATGTCATTACTTAGAGCTACAGTCAGGGAAGGGTATTTGTGGAGTAAGAAACATACAAGTTAAGTTCAGAGGGACACCAATCTTTATATTGCCTGTCACTGAAGCTGTGGTACAGAGTTATATAAAGGTTATATGGGTACAGAACCTGAGGGAAAGTGTCGTCTGCTGCTCATACAAGTAGGCTTACACATATCCATGTTGTCTGTGTTCCTACACTGAAAAATGGGAAAAACATAGTACATGTATACCCGTCCTAATAAAGACCCCATAACCAATACTCAGCTTAAAAATAACTGTTTGATGCTGGGGACTTCTGTCCCCTGCCTGTTTGTTGACATTAAAACGATTTTGGTCTTTGTTGAATTTGAGACAATAGTTTGTTGACATTGGGACAGTAAAATCGTTCTCAAACAAATCAACATTTTTTTGTTTCTTCTAATAAGAGTGGTGACATAGTATAAAGCGTACAGTAGAAATTAATTCAAGAAAAATATACTACAGTGATGGTAAAAATGGAAGTTTTATGTCGGAGGCTTCTGTATCCTTCGTCTGCTTTGACATTAAGACACTTGATAATATATGTTGACATGAAAACTGTTGCTGGTCTGTGTTGACATTCAGATACTGGTAATGATCTCTGTTGACATTCAGATGACTGTTGGTCAAGTTGGTGAGATATGTTGACATTCAGACACTTAGTTGTCAAAGTTGACATCCAGACATTATTGATGGTCTTTGATGACATCCAGACATTGTTGATGGTCTTTGTTGACATCAAGGCATCGTTGGTGGTCTTTGATGACATCCAGACATTATTGATGGTCTTTGATGACATCCGGACATTATTGATGGTCTTTGATGACATCCAGACATTGTCGATGGTCTTTGTTGACATCCAGACATTGTTGATGGTCTTTGATGACATCCAGACATTATTGATGGTCTTTGTTGACATCCAGGCATTGTTGATGGTCTTTGTTGACATCCAGACATTATTGATGGTCTTTGTTGACATCCAGGCATTATTGATGGTCATTGTTGACATCCAGACATTATTGATGGTCTTTGTTGACATCCAGACATTGTTGAAGGTCTTTTTTGACATCCAGACATTATTGATGGTCTTTGATGACATCCAGACATTGTTGATGGTCTTTGATGACATCCAGACATTGTTGATGGTCTTTGATGACATCCAGACATTATTGATGGTCTTTGATGACATCCAGACATTATTGATGGTCAATGTTGACATCCAGATTATTGATGGTCTTTGTTGACATCCAGACATTATTGAAGGTCTTTGTTGATATCCAGGCACTGTTGATGGTATTTGTTGACATCCTTGCATTGTTGCTGGTCAATGTTGACATCCAGACACTTAGTTGTCAGTGTTGACATCCAGACACTGTTGATGGTATGTGTTAATATAATCATATATAATTGTGTGTTTATATCAATTGACAACAGACACTGCTGGTGGTCCATGTTGACATCATTTTACTGGAGAACTATTAGTGGTCACTGTTGACGTTTAGATACTATTTGTGGTCCTTGATTTTACTGTAGAACTGTTGATGGTCTCTGCTGATATGGGAATATTGTTGACAGTCTAGGATGTATCAGGATACAGTTGAAATAGTTGTAATCATCAATCTACTAGTTTTATACCTGTTTTTTTTTTACAGATTGGAGCTGCGCAGGGAAAGCTGAGGAACTTTGTCATTGAACCATTTGTCACACACACACAGGTAAGAGATCCTATGTCACAGTAAAACGTCTGTGTTTATAACTTAGCAATTCGAAATACCCTTTCAGTTCAAAGTGATTTCCTTTTGAATTGTATAATTCAAACATCATCTTCATATCGATTTAGATAGTCCCACCTATTTCAAAAATAATTTGTTAAAATTTTAATTATTGTGAAACCTGTCTACTCTGACATGCTGTGGAATACAATATAGATCAGATTTATGACAGAGTGTCTGAATATACAAGTCTTATACAGTACTACTATATGTTGGACTAGACAAAATGCTGGAATATAGGATGGTCAGATTAGACAAATGTCAGAATGTACAGGTCTTATTGGGTAGTGTTCAGTAGAAGTGGTTTTACATCATTATGCTGGATTAGCAAGGGTGTTGAGATACTTAGTGGTCAAATTAAACAGGTTTCACACTTAGTGGTCAAATTAAACAGGTTTCCCTGGATCTGAATGATTATCCTGTTGTAAGTAACCTAGATATCCCTATTGATCATATTAACTAGATATCCCTATCGACCTTCGTCATATTTACTAGATATCCCTATCGACTATCGTCATATTTACTAGATATCCATATCGACCATCGTCATATTAACTAGATATCCCTATCGACCATCGTCATATTAACTAGATATCCCTATCGACCATCGTCATATTAACTAGATATCCCTATCGACCATCGTCATATTAACTAGATATCCCTATCGACCATCGTCATATTAACTAGATATCCCTATCGACCATCGTCATATTAACTAGATATCCCTATCGACCATCGTCATATTAACTAGATATCCCTATCGACCATCGTCATATTAACTAGATATCCCTATCGACCATCATCATATTAACTAGATATCCCTATCGACCATCGTCATATTTACTAGATATCCATATCGACCATCGTCATATTAACTAGATATCCCTATCGACCATCGTCATATTAACTAGATATCCCTATCGACCATCGTCATATTAACTAGATATCCCTATCGACCATCGTCATATTAACTAGATATCCCTATCGACCATCGTCATATTAACTAGATATCCCTATCGACCATCGTCATATTAACTAGATATCCCTATCGACCATCGTCATATTAACTAGATATCCCTATCGACCATCGTCATATTAACTAGATATCCCTATCGACCATCGTCATATTAACTAGATATCCCTATCGACCATCGTCATATTAACTAGATATCCCTATCGACCATCGTCATATTAACTAGATATCCCTATCGACCATCGTCATATTAACTAGATATCCCTATCGACCATCGTCATATTAACTAGATATCCCTATCGACCATCGTCATATTAACTAGATATCCCTATCGACCATCGTCATATTAACTAGATATCCCTATCGACCATCGTCATATTTACTAGATATCCATATTGACCATCGTCATATTAACTAAATATCCATATCGACCATCGTCATATTAACTAGATATCCTATTGATCATATTAACTAGATATCCCTATCGACCATCGTCATATTAACTAGATTTCCCTATCGACCATCGTCATATTAACTAGATATCCCTATCGACCATCGTCATATTAACTAGATATCCCTATCGACCATCGTCATATTAACTAGATATCCCTATCGACCATCGTCATATTAACTAGATATCCCTATCGACCATCGTCATATTAACTAGATATCCCTATCGACCATCGTCATATTAACTAGATATCCCTATCGACCATCGTCATATTAACTAGATATCCCTATCGACCATCGTCATATTAACTAGATATCCCTATCGACCATCGTCATATTAACTAGATATCCCTATCGACCATCGTCATATTAACTAGATATCCCTATCGACCATCGTCATATTAACTAGATATCCCTATCGACCATCGTCATATTAACTAGATATCCCTATCGACCATCGTCATATTAACTAGATATCCCTATCGACCATCGTCATATTAACTAGATATCCCTATCGACCATCGTCATATTAACTAGATATCCCTATCGACCATCGTCATATTAACTAGATATCCCTATCGACCATCGTCATATTAACTAGATATCCCTATCGACCATCGTCATATTAACTAGATATCCCTATCGACCATCGTCATATTAACTAGATATCCCTATCGACCATCGTCATATTAACTAGATATCCCTATCGACCATCGTCATATTAACTAGATATCCCTATCGACCATCGTCATATTAACTAGATATCCCTATCGACCATCGTCATATTAACTAGATATCCCTATCGACCATCGTCATATTAACTAGATATCCCTATCGACCATCGTCATATTTACTAGATATCCCTATCGACCATCGTCATATTAACTAGATATCCCTATCGACCATCGTCATATTAACTAGAAATCCCTATCGACCATCGTCATATTTACTAGATATCCCTATCGACCATTGTCATATTAACCAAATATCCCTATCGACCATCATCATATTTACTAGATATCCCTATCGACCATCGCCATATTTACTAGATATCCCTATGGACAATCGCCATATTAACTAGATATCCCTAGCCACCATCATCATATTAACTAGATATCCCTATCAACCATCGTCATATTAACTAGATATCTCTATCGACCATTGTCATATTAACTAGATATACCTATCGACCATCGTCATATTAACTAGGTATCCTTGCCATCATATGACTGCATTGCTGAAATGATGTAAAATCTCGAATATAACCTAGAGATATCAGATTCTAATAGGATGTTGTTTTTGTTTTCACAGGATGAAGAGTTCTACGTGTGTATATATTCCCACAGACACGCGGACAGTATTCTGTTCCACCACGAGGGTGGTGTGGACATTGGCGACGTTGATGCCAAGGTAAGGCCAAAACAAAGAATATGTATGTTTCCGGTTTTCCTACCTACCCTGTCTACCCTACCTACCCTGTCTACCCTACCCACCCTGTCTACCCTACCTACCCTGTCTACCCTGTCTACCCTACCCACCCTGTTTACCCTACCTACCCTGTTTACCCTACCTACCCTGTCTACCCCGTCTACCCTACCTACCCTGTTTACCCTACCTACCCTGTCTACCCTGTGTGCCTACCTAAAGTTGTTTTGGCATTTAGTGATAAGAAGTGTTAAAGTCAGAACTCCTGCTCTAAATAAGCATAGTAAAAAAAAAAAAAAAAAACTGCTTTACCCACCCCAACTTTTTTCAAGCAGAAACAGGAAACACGTATTTTTGACCTAATCATTTGCCCATTATCCAGTTGTTGTTTTTTTAAATCATCTATTAAATACTGCTGTACTTTTATCAAGAGGATATATGTATAGCTAGATCCTAGAAATCGGTAGAAAGATTAAGACCTTCACTTAAACCCAGGTTATGTGACAGCCATCTTGAACTTTTGATGCATACCTTTGGTCCAGGGGCCATACAAATTTGACTGCATGAAATTCAATTGCTGCACCTTACATTGTAGCAAGTGGACTGAAACTGCTTGTTCAGTTTATAATTATCTTGAAGAAGAGAGACGGTGTACTTTCTTTGTCGACAGTATACAAACATTTGTGTGCCAGTGTTGGCTTTATGTTATGTGTTATTAGTATTATATACCACATAAGTGGAGGTTTTTTGGGCTGCGGGTGAAATGTGAAAATTCTTGCATTTTATTTTGGCATTGGTTCTGAAATCTATATATTCCAGACATCTATAATCTATATAATCTATAAATAGATATTGACATGTAAATATTTTTGCTAAAATTTACTTGACACGAAAAATGGAAGCATTTTCAAACCATGAAAATGTCCACTTGTGCACAGTATAGTATAGAGTATAACTTTGATAAGTATATACTGGAGTTGATTGCCTGTGTGTGCTTTATGTAAGATTTAGTTGGCCTGTGTTTGTGTAAAACAGAATATTTGTCTTATTATTGTTGGCATTATACATTATATTACATAGGGCCTATTTTGATAGTTTACAGAATGTAGATTTGGAAAAGTATTCAACATTTTGCAAGCTTATATCTTTAAACACTTGTCTCAAGGCCCAGTTTGTTAAAAACATGGCTATTCCCTGTCATTAATGTATCACCTTTCAGACAATCTAAAAATAGGCATCTAACCAAAAACTAACCTCATTATGCTACAAATCCTCTGTAACACAGAGATTAGACAATTTATTTGATTTCAAGTCCATTTCATATAGAATTTCACCATTTCAATTAGCTTTTACAGAAATTACATCAAGCAGAAACCCATATATCTGGAAGATACAATATTACATGCATTATGTATCATTATAGATCCCCATGCCCACAGGCCTGTCTGCTAAAGAGGACATATGTCTTGTGTTTAAGTAGCACTGACTAGCTGTCTGGGTTTCTTAAAGACTCGTCAACTTAACATTGCATTAAACTGGATTTTTGTATCAATATTTTATGAAACAAAATATGTCATTATAATATTTTACTGATGTAAGTAGTGATTCGTATGCACTTGAATTACAAAAAATTGCAGAATTTTTACTGTGGTAAGAAAATATCACCAAAGTAAATTTTTTCGACACATATTTAAGCTTACAGCACTTTGAACTGCAGGATCTAGTGAAGTAAAACTTGTGTTTTTGTAGATAGACCTATGGAATCTCTGTAGGAAGCCTTTTAAATCTGTGTGACTTGGTTTGAAGCGATGCTGTGGGGTATTTGTGAGACAATAGATCAATAATGGTTGCATGCAAAGCTAGGCTATGTTTTACCATGAATGTTTCCTCAAAATGTAACTGAATAGAATAGAGGAAGTCATTTTTCTGAAATTATTGAAAAAAAATCTCAAATAATCATGAACGATACCACATTGTGATATGCATCTCATTTCCAAAAGAGTTAATTTCTATTAAACATCTCAACTATCTTTTTTGAACTGGTTGATGTCATGCACTTTTGAGTTACATTCACATGTAACACTAAGTTCAAAATTGTTCAATAAGATACTTAAGGGATATTACTCTTATACCAGTCAAGGGTACAATGTATAAAGTAGCATATCACCTGAAGGAAGTAAACCCATACACAGAGGTAGCATATAACCTTAAATCAAACACAAATCACAGGAATAATGTGGAAGGTAGCATACAGCCTTAACTCTAATACAAAACTTAGGTTAAGTGTTTAAGGTAGCTTATAACCTGAAGGGAGACAACTGTCACAAAACCCAGAGGGAGATATTGTGAAAGGAAGCATACAGCCTCAACTCTAATACAAAACTTATGTTAAGTGTTGAAGGTAGCATATAACCTGAAGGGAGACGACTGTCACAAAACCCAGAGGGAGATATTGTGAAAGGTAGCATACAGCCTCAACTCTAATACAAAACTTATGTTAAGTGTTGAAGGTAGCATATAACCTGAAGGGAGACAACTGTCACAACACCCACAGAGATAATGTGGAAGGAAGCATACAGCCTTAATCCTAATACAAAACTTAGGTTAAGTATTTAGGTAGCACATATCCTGAAGAGAGACAACTGTCACAAAACCCAGAGAGATAATGTGGAAGGAAGCATACAGCCTTAACTCTAATACAAAACTTAGGTTAAGTGTTGAAGGTAGCATATAACCTGAAGGGAGACAACTGTCACAAAACCCAGAGGGAGATAATGTGGAAGGAAGCATACAGCCTTAAACCTAATACAAAACTTATATTAGGTGTTTAAGGTAGCATATAGCCTGAAGGGAGACAACTGTCACAAAACCCACAGATATAATGTGGAAGGAAGCATACAGCCTTAACTCTAATACAAAACTTAGGTTAAGTATTGAAGGTAGCATATAACCTGAAGGGAGACAACTGTCACAAAACCCAGAGGGAGATAATGTGGAAGGAAGCATACAGCCTTAAACCTAATACAAATTTATACTAAGTGTTTAAGGTAGCATATAGCCTGAAGAGAAACAACTGTCACAAAACCCACAGATATAATGTTTAAGTCAGCTTGAGAGGTACCTTGAATTCAAATCACAGGACTGGCATAATGTATAAGGTTAAAAAATTGCCTGAAGGGAAATAACTCAACTTAAATCACAGATATAATTGTGAAGGGTATATCTTATCATTTTTCTGTACATTGTTCACATATTTTTTCTCTTGCCACTTCTTTATTTCTAATTTGTTCACTAGGTAACTAGAGATAGTTCATATTTATTCTCTTCTATCTTGAACTTGCCTTCAAGTTTAAGGCCAAAAGTGAAATAAGGACAAAAAAATCCTATTCCACTCAAACTGAGACTAATAATGCTGCCAACTATCTATTACATTGTATTTGTTTGCAGAATGGTTATAATTAAATAATAAAACCGGAAGAAATGTCACACTTTACACTTATACTACGAAACTAAACATAAAACCAGAGGTCTTGAAGTATATTCTTCCTTATGGACTAGTTTTGTTTTATTAATGTTTCTTATGGACTAGTTTTGTTGTTATTAATGTTTAAGAGTTTATATTCAAGGTAAAGCTACATTGAAAAAGAAAATATGTTGTTCACACTTTGTAATGTCAAAATGTTGGGACAACAACTAAAAAAGTGTTTTTGAAAACCAAAGCTTAAAATAGGTACAAATACAACATCATGCAAAAATGACTAAAATAAAACTATGTTGTTCTAGGCAGTCAAACTTGACGTACCGGTCGGGGAGGATTTGACAGCGGATGCCATTACTTCCACACTGCTTGTAAACGTTCCTGCTGCAGCACACAGGTAAGGTCAGCGACTCGCAGGTCTGTTACAGTTAATGTCATGTGTTATTATCAGGAATGTGACATTAACAGTAACACTATTTCACTGTAAAAATAGACAAGGTTTAGTATGAAGTTAAGGTTGACGTGCAATGTTATCCACCTGGCATTGAATTCACACTCTCATTCAAGGGTAAAAAGGGCGAAAATAAATTGGTAACATATATTTCTCCTATAACAGTTTTCTGTGTACTATTTTATGATATTTAATATGATGGTTTACATTTAGTAGAGTCCACAAGTTAAAACCAACAGTAAATATTTCTAATCCAGTCTTATTACAGATCTTCAATAAAAATGCCCCCTGATGAGATAAGATTGTCCACTGTATTTAAGAAAGGGCCAAGCTATGTTACGTAAACATTTGTACTACATACGGTGCAGATTCATTATGTCTGTCCAGAAACTTGTAATATGCTTCTGTGTCCCTGTTTACAGTGTGCTGACAACATTTTTACTGGCTCTGTATGAGGCCTTTAAGGACCTACACTTCACCTACCTGGAGATCAACCCACTCGGTAAGGCAGAGATTTTGACAGTTTCTCCGGGAAAAACTGATAGAGGAAATGATCCTTAAAGCTTATTTTATGAAAAAAAATATAATTCAAAATCCTAAAAATTTATAATTTATTGTTGATAAGTGCTATTTGAAAGTAACAAGCTACCATGGTTGAGCAACCCTATACTGTAATTACATTGTACTTTATGTGACCTGTTATAGGCCCAGAGAGGTGTAATAAGTAGCACTAAGTGTATTGGAGTATTAGAGAAATAGCAAGATGTGTGGTCTGCTTATTCATGACATCACTTTTTTATACAGGAACAATTTTTGTCTAGAAATATCTTCAAACAACAGGACAGGCAATTTCACAATTCACAATTTTTCATATCTCGAATCGCTACAGGTTAAATTCTCAGTAAAACAGAACTTCTTGAGAGATTCATAATGTTTCACATCTAGAAAAGCCACAGATTAACTTTCTGAGAGATTCATAATGTTTCACATCTAGAAAAGCCACAGATTAACTTTCTGAGAGATTCATGTTTTAATACCTCCGACTCAACAGTGTTTACGGGAGGAAAGCTCTACATACTGGACCTTGCAGCCAAGATCGACCAGTGTGCTGAGTACCTATGTAAGGCTAAGTGGGGAGAAATGACCTTCCCTCCACCCTTTGGTAGGGACGCACTTCCTGAGGTAAGAAAAATCCTTGATGGAAAGACAATTAACTCATTCACCCCTGAAGTCACATTTGAAGACTTCCAATTCAAAGGTTGGAATAGTTCATTATGAAATTACAGGGGTGAGTGGGTTATAGGAAATATTTCCTCTACTACTTAGGGTATCTACCCAATCTCCTTGTACCCACCAAACTATTCTTGACAAGTTAATAAAAATGAGGCTCAGTGATCAGAATTTAGTTTGTCAGTGTCAGCAACATCTGCTGCATAGGTAAAGCATTAGTCATTAGAAAATGTTTTTAGAATAATTTCCTTCTTCAAATATTACTTTAGGGCTTGCATACATTTTGACTGCTTATAATAATAACATACCATGAATAAATATGTTATTGAAAATCACTCAGGAACTATTGTCAACAATCTGGACCAATCAGAGACATCTTCTCAAACTTCAAAATACTAAAATGTACATGTGAAATACTGTTAAACACGAAATGTCCGTGGGTACTTCCCCCTCGTGGTTTGAAGCCTTTTAGAACATTCGTGGTACAAATTTTCATAGATATCCTATATTAATAAACAGTAGACACGTATATCATTCAAATTCGTTGTATTAATTTCGTAGTTCAATAGTAACCACGAAAACCACATGTTATACAGTACTGACTGAAAGGGTGACATTTTGTTGTTATACAGTACTGACTGAAGGGGTGACTTTTGATGTTATACAGTACTGAGCGAAGGGGTGACATTTCATGTTATAGAGTACTGACTGAAGGGGGACATTTTGTTGTTATACGGTACGGACTGAAGGGTTGACATTTTGTTGTTATTCAGTACTGACTGAAGGGGAGATATTTTGTTGTTATATAGTACTGACTGAAGGGGAGATATTTTGTTGTTATATAGTACTGACTGAAGGGGGGATATTTTGTTGTTATATAGTACTGACTGAAGGGGTAACATTTTGTTGTTATACAGTACAGAGGGAAGGGGTGACATTTCATGTTATACAGAACTGACTGAAGGGGTGATATTTTGATGTTATACAGTACTGAGTGATGGGGTGACATTTCATGTTATAGAGTACTGACTGAAGGGGTGTCATTTTGTTGTTATACAGTACTGACTGAAGGGTGACATTTTGTTGATATACAGTCCTGACTGAAGCGGTGACATTTTGTTGGTATACAGTACTGACTGAAGTGGTGACATTTTGTTGTTTTACAGTACTGACTGAAGGGTTGACATTTTGTTGTTATTCAGTACTGACTGAAGGTGTGACATTTCATGTGATACAGTACTGACTGAAGGGGTGACATTTCATGTTATACAGTACTGACTGAAGGGGTGACATTTCATGTTATACAGTACTGAGTGAAGGGGTGATATTTTGTTGTTATACAGTACTGACTGAAGGGGTGACATTTTGTTGTTATACAGTACTGACTGAAGGGGTGACATTTTGTTGAGAATTGATCAAGTTATAAATGTCTAATCAGGTTGTGAATGTATATAATATACATGTGATTAATAACTTGTATACTATCATGGAAACCAAAAAAGACCTGTTTTGCAGCAGTCTGCTGTATTTTGCTTTTCAGTATTCATAGAAAATGGTGAATTATTTTTTTGCCTGTATTTCATAGGAAGCATATATTGCGGATCTTGATGCAAAGAGTGGTGCCTCTCTCAAGCTGACCATCCTAAACAAGAAGGGTCGGATCTGGACAATGGTGGCAGGGGGCGGAGCCTCCGTCATATTTGCGTAAGTTGCCACATTTGTTATTATGAAACTTGGGAAAACACTCAACACCGAGGCCAAGAGTGAAGTATTGACACGTAATACATTATGAATGAGAAGCAGAAAGGAGAGAGAGAGAAGAAATCCCAAGTACTGCAATGGATTTAACAGAAATTTTGGTCACTTTCGTGTTACCAAATAGCGGGCGCAAAATAAACTCCTCAATGCTATTGGAGCTTCCCACATTAGTTGCCTTTTACAAATCATGAAGTAGTTTGCAGTGCATACTTTCTATTCTCTATTTAACATCTACAAGGTCCAAATGTAAGATTAAGCTTCTTAGAATTTTTCGACATTTTCATTTCTATGTCAAATAAAATCTGATAAAACAGGTAGAAAAAAATAATGAGACGATCAAATGGTATGATAAAACTTTTCACACGTATTTCAAACTTGTGTTTTCTTGCCTTTCCAGGGATACCATCTGCGACTTGGGAGGAGCTCCCGAGCTAGCCAACTACGGCGAGTATTCTGGAGCACCCAGCGAACAACAGACGTACGAATACGCCAAGACCATCCTTAGTCTGATGACACAAGATACCCACCCCGATGGTACGTACTGTTTGATTGTACTCAACAGGGGAATTTTCAGGGGTCAACACTTTCAATTAATTAATTCACCCTTGAAATTTCGAGTGAACTAGTCCAACCTTTGAATTGAAAGAGTTCAAATGTGTCTACAGGGGTGAATATGTTAATGACTCAATAGCGTTCAGGGCATGTCATTCTCTAACTTAAAACACTATGGTGCTACATCACATATTTTCAACTTTATAAACTTTTTAGTGGAAGAAATTGAATTTCAAATTGAATTTAAGTAAAAAGCATGAGGGAAGGAATTCATCTGATTTCTAAAGTAAAATTGAAGGTGAAAAATTGAAAGTTTCACTCCAAAAAAGAGAGACTTGGCAAAGACAAGTTTTTCACACAAAAATGTCCAGAGTAAGGTTTCACTGTACATGGAAATATCAATGAGCTTTTTTGTATTGGTTCAGAAGCTTAGATGTTCTGAATTCTATTTTCACTATATTTTTTGTAAATATTAAAATAACCAAGCATGCAATTATTTTATGCCATTAATTTAATTTCCACAATTTAACGTTTTAGAATGATTTAAAAAAATATGTGAATTAATTATTTAGAAATGTCAGATTTTTCCTTTGTAGTAAAATTGAATACTGTATAACGTGAAATATGTTCGTTGTGTATAAACTTTCATTGTTTTCGGGGTTGCTACGGAACCACGAATATAAATACAACAAATATTTCTACAACAAGAAAGAATATACACAACGAAAATGTGAAAACTATATAAACTTCATTCCAATCAAAAATGTGCACACAAAATGAAGTATTTACATTGTAGGTGTAAAAATATGATCATGTAACAATTTCGTTGTCCAGGCTAACCGCAAAAAATTGTACCCACAAATAATTTGAAAGGTCCAAACCATGAAAGAAAGTACACATTAACATTTCATATTATGAAGTATGAGTAAAACAACATCATGAGCAATAAAGATGGTAACATAAGATGTTATAATTCATGAATCACTGTATCATTGGATCCCCAGACAATGCTAAGGGTATGTATGTAGATTGGTGATGGTTACCGCGGGGTACGGGTAGTGGGGAGGTGTAGAGGTCACAGTCACAGAGCACCCTTACATTGCATAGAACTGGTGGAGGTTCCACAGTATTAAAATTTGATGTTGTTTACAAGCTCCTTGTAACATTAAAGGTCATTAAGAGGTCGGTAGTGGTGGTAGAGTAGTTAAGGCGGTATCAGACTCTATGATCACTAGCCCTCCACCACTGGGTCACAGGTTATGTGGGGCAATCGCCAGGTACTGACTGCAGGTTGGTGGTTTATCTCTGGGCACTCCGGCTATCCTCCATTACCAGAACCTGGCGAATCCTTAAAGCACCATAGCTGTTAATAGGACGTACTACATAAAAAAAAACGCCATTATGTGGTAAAGTGATAATACAGTCAGTGACAGTTCGTAAAAGACAGATAGAAGAGGAAATGTGTAGACCATTACACAGTCACCAAAGACAGCATGAAATTAAATACCCAGAGAACAGGAATACCATGAATTACCATCTCGGTGACTTAGATAAAAGTAAAAATCTGCTTACCAATTTTCTGCCGAAACAACCATTCAATATTGCATTTTATGTTATTTCACAAAACACTTGAAAAATAAATCCTATTACCCAAATGCAAAAGTAGCCTGGTGAGCGTGATAGTTTTATGTAGCCATGTTGTGTTAAATTCAATCCCCATGAACTAGTTCTGATTTAGGAAATATTAGCCCTGCAAAATTAAACAACTTACAGTCATCATTACTGCTGTAAAAAAAGTCAAAGTATTTATGGAGTGTTGTAATTGTACACAAATGTCATTGTATTTAAATAGTGAGTGATATTGTGACAATACTGTATTTAGGAAAATATAGTCTAGAAAAAGATTTCCCGGAAAAAATCTCCTGCTGATGATAATTATTGTTTGTATAATTTTCAGGTAAGATCCTGATTGTTGGAGGAGGAATTGCTAACTTCACCAACGTCGCTGCCACATTTAAGGTAAGTGTTGTACCCAAGCTGTCCTTGGTAGGGAGTCTATCAATGTCCTTGGTAGGGTGTCTACCAATGTCCTTGGTAGGGAGTCCAGAAATGTACCTGGTAGGGAGTCTATCCATGTCCTTGGTAGGGAGTCTAACAATGTCCTTGGTAGGGAGTCCAGAAATGTACCTGGTAGGGAGTCTATCCATGTCCTTGGTAGGGAGTCTAACAATGTCCTTGGTAGGGAGTCTTTCAATATCCTTGGTAGGGAGTCTATCAGTGTCCTTGGTAGGGAGTCTATAAATGTACCTGGTAGGGAGTCTATCCATGTCCTTGGTAGGGAGTCTATCGATGTCCTTGGTAGGCTGTCTATCAATGTCCTTGGTAGGCTATCAATGTCCTTGGTAGGGAATCTATTAATGTCCTTGGTAGGGAGTTTATCAATGTACTTGGTAGGGAGTCTATCAATGTACTTGGTAGGGAGTCTATCAATATCCTTGGTAGGGAGTCTATCAATTTCCTTGGTAGGGTGTCTATCAATGGCCTTGGTAGGTTGTCTATCAATGGCCTTGGTAGGGTATCTATCAATGGCCTTGGGAGGGAGTATATCAATGTCCTTGGTAGGGAATCTATTAATGTCCTTGGTAGGGAGTTTATCAATGTACTTGGTAGGGAGTCTATCAATTTCCTTGGTAGGGTGTCTATCAATGGCCTTGGTAGGGTGTATATCAATGGCCTTGGTAGGGAGTCTATCAATTTCCTTGGTAGGGTGTCTATCAATGGCCTTGGTAGGTTGTCTATCAATGGCCTTGGTAGGTTGTCTATCAATGGCCTTGGTAGGGAGTCTATCAATGGCCTTGGTAGGGAGTCTATCAATGTCCTTGGTAGGGAGTCTATCAATGTCCTTGGTACAGAGTCTATCAATGTCCTTGGTAGGGAGTCTAGAAATGTACCTGGTAGGGAGTCTATCAATGTCCTTGGTAGGGAGTTTATCAATGTCCTTGGTAGGGAGTCTATCAATGGCCTTGGTAGGGTGTCTATCAATGGCCTTGGTAGGGAGTATATCAATGTCCTTGGTAGGGAGTCTATCAATGTCCTTGGTAGGGAGTATATCAATGTCCTTGGTAGGGAGTCTATCAATGTCCTTGGTAGGGAGTCTATCAATATCCTTGGTAGGGTGTCTATCAATGTCCTAGGTAGGGAGTCTATCAATGTCCTTGGTAGGGTGTCTATCAATGTCTTTGGTAAGGAGTCTATCAATGTCCTTGGCAGGGAGTCTATCAATGTACCTGGTAGGGAGTCTATCAATGGAGTCTATCAATATCCTTGAGTCTATCAGTGTCCTTGGTAGGAAGTTTATCAATGTCCTTGGTAGGAAGTCTATCAATGTCCTTGGTCGGGAGTCTATCAATGTCCTTTGTAGGGAGTCTTTCAATGTCCTTGGTAGAGAGTCTATCAATGTCCTTGGCAGGGTGTCTATCAATGTCCCTGGTAGGGAGTCTATCAATATCCTTGAGTCTATCAGTGTCCTTGGTAGGAAGTTTATCAATGTCCTTGGTAGGGACTCTATCAATGTCCTTGGTAGCCTGTCTTTCAATGTCCTTGGTAGAGAGTCTATCAATGTCCTTGGCAGGGAGTCTATCAATATCCTTGGTAGGGTGTCTATTAATGTCCTTGGTAGGGGAGTCTATCAAGTCTATCAATGTCCTTGGGGGGGTGTGTATCAATGTCCTTGGTAGGGGGTCTATCAATGTCCTTGGTAGAGTGTCTATCAATGTCCTTGATAGGGAGTCTATCAGTGTCCTTGGTAGGGTGTCTCTCAATGTCCTTGATAGGGAGTCTTTCAATGTCCTTGGTAGGGATTATATCAATGTCCTTGGTAGGTGTCCTTGGTAGGGAGTCTCTCAGTGTCCTTGGTAGGAAGTCTATCAATGTCCTTGGTATGGAGTCTATCAATGTACCTGGTAGGGAGTCTATCAATGGAGTCTATCAATATCCTTGAGTCTATCAGTGTCCTTGGTAGGGTGTCTCTCAATGTCCTTGATAGGGAGACTTTCAATGTCCTTGGTAGAGAGTCTATCAATGTCCTTGGGGGGGTGTGTATCAATGTCCTTGGTAGGAAGTCTATCAATGTCCTTGGCAGGGAGTCTATCAATGTCCCTGGTAGGGTGTCTATCAATTTCCTTGATAGGGAGTCTTTCAATGTCCTTGGTAGAGAGTCTATCAATGTCCTTGGTAGGGAGTCTATCGATGTCCTTGGTAGCCTGTCTATCAATGTCCTTGGTAGGGTGTCTATCAATGTCCTTGATAGGGAGTCTTTCAATGTCCTTGGTAGGGAGTATATCAATGTCCTTGGTAGGGAGTCTATCAGTGTCCTTGGTAGGAAGTCTATCAATGTCCTTGGTAGGGGAGTCTATCAATGTCCTTGGTAGGGGAGTCTATCAATGTCCTTGGTAGGGAGTCTATCAATGTCCTTGGTAGGGAGTCTATCGATGTCCTTGGTAGGCTGTCTAGCAATGTCCTTGGTAGGGTGTCTATCAATGTCCTTGATAGGGAGTCTTTCAATGTCCTTGGTAGGGAGTCTTTCAATGTCCTTGGTAGGGAGTCTATCAATGTCCTTGGTAGGGAGTCTTTCAATGTCCTTGGTAGGTAGTCTTTCAATGTCCCTGGTAGGGAGTCTATCAATGTCCTTGGAAGGAAGTCTATCAATGTCCTTGGTAGGGAGTCTAACAATGTCCTTGGTAGGGAGTCTATCAAGTAGGGAGTCTATCAATGTCCTTGGTAGGGAGTCTATCAATGTCCTTGGTAGGAAGTCTATCAATGTCCTTGGTAGGGAGTCTATCAATATCCTTGGTAGGGAGTCTATCAATGTCCTTGGTAGGGAGTCTATCAATGTACTTGGTAGGGAGTCTATCAATGTCCTTGGTAGGCTGTCTATCAATGTCCTTGGTAGGGTGTCTATCAATGTCCTTGATAGGGAGTCTTTCAATGTCCTTGGTAGGGAGTATATCAATGTCCTTGATAGGGAGTCTATCAGTGTCCTTGGTAGGAAGTCTATCAATGTCCTTGATAGGGAGTCTTTCAATGTCCTTGGTAGGGCGTCTATCAATGTCCGGTAGGGAGTCTATCGATGTCCTTGGTAGGGACTATATCAATGTCCTTGGTAGAGAGTCTATCAATGTCATTGATAGACTCTCTACCAAGGACATTGAAAGACACCCTACCAAGGCCATTGATAGACTCCCCAACCAAGGACATTGATACACTCCCTACCAAGGAAATTGATAGACTCCCTATCAATGTCCTTGGTAGGGAGTCTATCAATGTCCTTGGTAGGGGAGTCTATCTATGTCCTTGGTAGGGAGTCTATCAATGTCCTTGGTAGAGAGTCTATCAATGTCCTTGGTAGGGAGTCTATCAATGTCCTTGGTAGGGAGTCTATCAATGTCCTTGGTAGGGGAGTCTATCAATGTCCTTGGTAGGGTTTCTATCAATGTCCTTGGTAGGGATTCTATCAATGTCCTTGGTAGGGTGTCTATCAATGTCCTTGGTAGGGAGTCTATCAATGTCCTTGGTAGGGAGACTATCAGTGTCCTTGGTAGGGAGTCTATCAATGTGGGTGTATGGACAAAGAGAGACCTGCTGTATCCCATTTCATGATTGTTAGAGGCAACTAATGTGATTTCCCTGCTGACAGAAGGATTTTGGGGGTGTCCTGTTCTAGGGCAGATTGAAGAAGCCGGACCTTATCTGCTGCATCTATACTGATATACAAAAGTACATACATCGACAGCTCTCCAGTAATATTCCATTTCTAGATAAATGTAATTGACTATTAAAATTTTAATATTTGAGCTATTAAATTTAATGTTTTGAGGGAGTAAACTGAAAAAGTCATAAAGACTTGTTAAAACAGTGTTGTTAGATTATTGATTCATATGATTGTGTATTGAAAATTGTAGTGACTGTATTTTCAGGGTATTGTGAGAGCGTTACGTGAGTTCCAACAACAGTTAATCGAAACAAAGACCAGCATCTATGTGAGGAGAGCAGGGCCCAACTACCAGGAGGGGCTGAGGATCATGAGGGAATTAGGTAAGGTCTTCATCATAGGACCCAGAAGGAACTAGACAAAGCATCTATTGTATAGCTCAGTCACAAACCAAGGGTATTCAATCAGGGCTCTATTGTAGAGTTTACCACTAGGGTATTCAATCAGGGCTCTAATGTAGATGTACCATAAGGGTATTCAATCAGGGCTCTTGTAGAGTTTACCAGTAGGGTATTCAATCAGGGCTCTTGTAGAGTTTACCACTAGGGTATTCAATCAGGGCTCTTTTGTAGAGTTTACCAGTAGGGTATTCAATCAGGGCTCTATTGTAGAGTTTACCACTAGGGTATTCAATCAGGGCTCTATTGTAGAGTTTACCACAAGGGTATTCAATCAGGGCTCTTGAAGAGTTTACCACTAGGGTATTCAATCAGGGCTCTATTGTAGAGTTTACCACTAGGGTATTCAATCAGGGCTATATTGTAGAGTTTACCACAAGGGTATTCAATCAGGGCTCTATTGTAGAGTTTACCACTAGGGTATTCAATCAGGGCTCTATTGTAGAGTTTACCACTAGGGTATTCAATCAGGGCTCTATTGTAGAGTTTACCACTAGGGTATTCAATCAGGGCTCTATTGTAGAGTTCACCATTAGGGTATTCAATCAGGCCTCTATTGTAGAATTTACCACTAGGGTATTCAATCAGGGCTCTATTGTACAGTTTACCACTAGGGTATTAAATCAGGGCTCTATTGTAGAGTTTACCACTAGGGTATTCAATCAGGGCTCTGTTGTAGATTTATCACTGGGGTATTCAATCAGGGCTCTATTGTAGAGTTTACCACTAGGGTATTCAATCAGATCTCTGTTGTAAGCTCACATTTAGATGAGCTCTCTTTTGGAGATCTCAATTAGATAATGGTTCACTTGAAGAGCTCAACAACTCAGGAACCTCTATTGTAGGGCTCAATCACAAAGGAATCAAGATGAGAGTTCTGTTGGAGAGCTCATTCACACAGGAATGCTCAATCACAAGGGGATTGAGGTCATGATTCTATTGGAGAGCTTGTTATCAGTTACAAGGGGATTGTATATGGTTTCTATTCTAGGACTAAAGCCCAAGGGAGTTAGATACTGGGCTCAATTGCAAATTAAAGAACTTGATAAAATTTCTGTTGCCCTAAATGTTATATTGAAATCCCACCAGAAGGTATGCCTCTATACTGTCAGGCAGTCGGAGCCATGATAAGTGACAAGTCACGTCTGAGAGAGAAAATATCAATGTAAGATCACACACTATTTGCATGTATTGGTGTACCCACATGACTTCAGTAAACTATGGCTGACATCAAACTTCATTTTCCTTTTCACATTTCATACAGTTGACACTTCTGTAAAGCTGAACCCTTTCACCCCTAGGTAATTTAATAGACTTTACCATACATTCATCTGGATGAGTCCATTATGGCCAATAGTGGTGAAAGGGTTAAATAAGGTTCCAATAGATTCTTCAATGTTTATGTTTATCATATTTGGAAATAAATTACTAAGTGACATTTTGTTCTCAGGTAACACACTTGGAGTATCAATCCACGTTTTTGGACCGGAGACTCACATGACCTCCATCGTCAGTATGGCACTGGGCAAGCGAGAGATCCCAGACAACCCGAAACCCATGCAGACAACGGCTAACTTCCTTCTACCTACTGGCGGGGTATGTAGTTACCATAGCAACAGAGTTGTAGTGATCACCACTCAATAGGCAGCTAGTTTTCCTATAATTGTTCATTAAGAAGCTCATCTGTGTAGATTTTAGAGACTTGTTAGAGACTACATCTTGGTTTCCATATCATTTTTTGTCATCTACTGGTACTACCACAAGGGGACGATAGTCTTGCACACCATTCATCAGTCCAGCAGTCTGTGTCAATTTGTACAAGGCAGGTATCATACACTCTGCCACCTACAATTGCCAACTTTTGTATGAGAATACCTCTTGGAATGGCAAAGTGTCCCATACAGAAATCGGGTCTTTTGCCCCACAATTTTCATAGTTATGGCCCTTTGTTACCATGGGTCACTTTATCCGTGGCATATATTATATATTCTGTCACCCACAGTTGCCAAACATTGTATATGATCAATTTTTAGGATATTCTACTGTCACGTACTGAAATCAGGTCTCTTGTCCCAGTATTTACAGAGTTTTAGAGAGTTGTGGCCAACCAAATTTAGTCCAGGGGGTGGGGACTGTGGATTTAATGCAATACTTGGCCATGCATCTGTAGAAACATAAAAGAATAAAATACACTACTTACAATAGAATCTTTATTACCATGTAAATATTCAGGGTGAATTCAAATCCTTCACCCCTACATTTTTAAAAATGGACTTGCCCGTTCTTTGATTGGTAAGGATGAAATGTGACTTAAGGGGTGAATGGGTTAAGGTAGGTACTATGAAGACTAGTACATGTAATCTCAAGCTTGCACTTGAAAACACACAGAAAGGGTTCAAATGCTTCCAAATCCTATAGACTGTAGCCAACCAGGTCCTGGTCGCTATAAACCTTTTTATCAATAAGAAATGTTTACTGAATTTAAAACTAATGAAAATATCCTTAAATTGAGATGTCTTTTTAACCAAACAAAATGTTAACCCGACAAATTAATTTATCATGTTGATTTACCCTAACATATACTGTGTGACATTGAAGGCCGGGTTAGATTAATCGCATTGGTGAGAGATTTGGCTGTTTTTGTGTCTCACAAAACCTAATTGACTGGTCTAATTATGTGAATCAGAACAGTCTATTGTGGCATCAAAGGAGAGGAAGTGTGAATGATGTGTGAAAATATAACAATAATTATTTGCTCTTTGTAAAAGCTAATCAATATACTTAAAATAACTCGTACAGAAATTGAGGTAAAATAGTTCATTTCAAAAAGGTTTTATGTTAACTGTATGTCGGTGTTTTTTTGTTTACCTTTCGCCTTTTGAGGGCGAATTTATCATGACAGCGAGTTTTAGTTCACAACATGCGATATATAGTAGTTTACATACGAAGGGTGAAATAAACACGGGGAGAACATCTTACAATTATTTTCCCAATATAAAAGGCCAAGAAGTGCTTATGTTGTTAAGTTCATATTGATATTTTAATTCCTTTCAATCTTCAAAATGTCACAATGGTTTCACAATATTGAAAACAAGCAAATATTTTCAATATTAGGTCAAAAGTATCTCTGCAAAACCTGTTAGAAAAAGGATATGAAAATAGGTTATTTTGATGTTCCTAGAAAAATGTCAGCAAATGATTGTAGTTAGTGGTAAAGATTACTGGAGGAAGTGTAACAGGAAACATATATCTTTTCTATTGGCCTTTTGGATGATCTTATCATGTAAGATATACTTTAATTTCTTCATTACAGTCCATAGTCTCATTATCCTTAGTAAGTGCCAAACAACATGGAGATTAAAAATCTTCATTTTAGTTGAATGAGAATTTGAGATGCATTTTATGCATGTTGTGGATAAATGTTGATTATTTATTTCAATTCTATCTGCACTGAAAATTGTTTCAAGTTTCATGTGCATTAATTATAAAACATTGATTGCAAATGGCTGTGTTTATAACCTTTAACCTCTAACCCTGTTTGTTTTGCAGGTTGTACAGGTATACAATTGGCTGTTAGTCTATTAGTCTATAGCCGTCTCTAGCGCTCTAACATGGGTATTTTGCATTATATAGTAGAATACCAGTGATAGCCCACGTCCAGGAATAAGTTACCCCCCCCCCCCCCTGCCCTCATTACAACAGATTTTTACAGTTATGTTCATATCAGATAATACAGTAAACCTTAAAATCTATAGAGTAAAACAGGAATTACCTTTCAGAAGTAAAATCAGAAATAAATGTTCAAATCTGCTGCCATTTAAACCCAAATAAAGCAAGTTGTGGGCAATGAGACATACAAAATATGTTTGTTTTGATCACAAACAGAAATTAAAAACTTATTTTGTTCAAAACAAACTTAGCCTTTATCATTGATACCAAACTGATGACCGTTACTCCGAAGAGTTCCAGGCAGTGAGACCATTTTAACCTTTAACGTAATGGTCAGACTACATTGTATGACTTCAGAATTATGAACATGAAGATTAGCTGGCGAACTCTGGCTGTTCGCTATGTATGGAAAGTCAGCCTCAAGTTTGAAGAAAATAAAGAATCTTTAAGTATCAGTTGGTTCTTTAAATTGATGGAAAATAGAAACATATCTATTAAACTGCATTCTATTCAAAGTTATATTTCAATAATTTACAGAATTACTATTATCTAGTTGTGCTAACCCCAGCTCATCAAAATAAAAATTCTCTTTATAATTTATTAACAAAATGCAATAAATGGTCTGGTTTTAATAAGATTGACACAAATAGTCCATGCATTATTTGATTTGTCTTCAGTCTTGTTTAAAATTATGAGGCTAAAGCTTTTAACAGAATCCGTGCAAGATTATTAAGATTTAGACCTGTATGCATTTTACCCCGTCCCCCAAGAACTGGATCCCTCCCCTCTGTACTTATTGCATGTAAAACGGTAAATGTATATAGGGGTTTGTGTTGTAACTGTTGTATCCTATATACTATACATATTGTCTGTATACTGTTTGGGTGTATAATATACTACACTGGGTTCAGGGGTACTCCCACAAAACTAACACCAAATACTAAATATCTAGTAGATTCATGAGCCTCTGGTATGGGAACGTTATAACCCTGGTCTGCATGGCGTTATCAAAACTGAAATTACAGTCCGGTATAAATGTATATAATGCTGGTTGGGAACGTTATAACCCTGGTCTGCATGGCGTTATCAAAACTGAAATTACAGTCCGGTATAAATGTATATAATGCTGTAACCAGGCATTGTGATGAATGTGAATGTTGATTTAGAATGTTGTACCGTGAGGTTGGACTGAGATTCTGTATTTTGTGAAGTTCTGTAGATATGTAGCGTGCTTCGTCATTGTGTGTGATAGATATCTGCACAAAGGGATGCATGTTAAGATGTAACAGTGATTTTTGTAGGATTTTTTTCTGCTGATTCCAGCTGAACATCACTTTCAAAATTTCGAACAAGTCCCGTTACTAAGAGATGTACATATTGTAGTACTGGGCTCTCAAAATCTGGGTGAGTTCTTCAGGAAAAGCGTGCGTTCCGGAGTCAAAATCTATATCCCGAAAATCACTGTTACAAGTTTTCCGGATGTGTACAAGGGAGATAACTCAAACATCCTTAGCAGGATATGATGTGTCAGGTAGCATATAAGGAGTAGCAGGGACAGTCATCAGAGACAAATCTGCAAAAAATATATGCAAATTTTTGTTAAAATATCTAAGGCACAAAACTAGTGCATGGTCAGTCTTACACATTTATTATATTATTTTGTAAATTCCTTTGCAAGGACTTATTATTTTATTATCTACTGTAATTTTTTTCATTTTTTATTTTTTATTTAGACTAATAGCCCATTGAATTAATCAGGCTTTGAACTACAAGGCCCAGTACTTCGTTTAGTTCCGTTTCTAAGACGAGGTGCCCTCAGCTCATCAAGGGGGAAATATAGTGACTTACAGATTTCTCTTTGGCTGTTGACAGTAACGCTGTACAATGCATTACTGTAGCACTTGCAGGCATTTCTGAATTTGTAAGATCTGCATCCTTGTAGAGATTGATTCTGAAATCCACCACCAGAACCTGTCTGTAAATTGGCTCCCACCCTTGATATTGTAGTAAATACTAAAATAGGATTAATATCTCTTACTAACCCAGCAAAGTGTAAACCTATCAATAGTAAACAATACAATGTCTCTTACTAACCCAGCAAAGTGTAAACCTATCAATAGTAAACAATGCAATATTAATATATCTTACTAACCCAGGAAAGTGTAAACCTATCAATAGTAAACAAT